AAATTAAAATTTTTTTTGAATCTTTATGATTATGATTTCATTAAATATATAAAAACGCACTTGTCATTCCATTCCATCATGTTCTAAAAATTTAAATCAATAGTCAATTGAATAGTTTTCCAAGTTAATTATTTTGTTCATAAATACATTTCATCTACCAAAAATGAGAATTATATTCTTGATATTATAGCAAATTTGAATCAATAATGCATTCAAAATAATAATAATAATAACACTATTGTTATCCTTTAATATTGTTCCTATCCTCTTAGTACTTAATAAAATATTGATAACATCTGAAATTGTAATTGTTATCGATTCGTAAATATCTTACGTCAACTAAACTTTCAATCCTTACAAGTAAAAAAGTGAATTTTTTCTAATCTCTAGCCTTCAAAGAATTCTTAACAGACTTTGCAGAGCGCATTTTAATATATATATTCACATTGTTATTTTGCTTGTTCCCCTTCTAGTTGTGAAAGGATCTTGAGATGAAAGCAATATTTTCAACTATCGTAGAATAATAAAAATTTAAGTTAGCTTCTTGTTCTAGTTTGGTTTCACATTTTTAAAAATGACAATACTGGTTTTTTAAAGATGGGTATTGATAAATTTACATTTAGGATTGTATATAATAATAACATGTTATAAAATATTTACTCTGCGTAGTAACTTGTTAGAAATTAGAATTTTAAAACATTGGGTATATACCTTTTTGATCTGCAATTGGCCCAATAATAAGAGAGTAATATTATGACGACTTATGGTGAGCGAGCTTTAAAATTTCGTAACGAGACAGCACGAAAATTATTTGTAGTAGAACGTAAAAAAACCAATTTAAGTTTACAAAAAAAAACTGTTTCTTGGGGTGGTTGATAAATATTTGTCGTTTGAAAGTTAGCGAGTTAAAGTAATGAGTTAATAAACGAATGAGTTAGTGATTGTTTTACGAAATTAATGTATTTGATCAATTACAAAAGTCAAAGGCTAAACTTGATTTTTTTGATTTTTGAAGAAAGAAGGAGAGAAAATTTCCCATATTTGTTGTCATTATTATAATAACGAATGTATAGGAAATACTGTGAAACTCCAATATTCCAAAGGGATTTATAAAATAGTAGAATGAGCAGATATTACAAATGCACATTCATTATCAGGTGAAGGTATTGTATTATGATTAAAGGATGTTGGGTTACCATTAGGCAGAGGATTATTAGTAAAGGTAAACTTAGCAACCGAATCATACACTAAGGAAACTATAAGAATGGCATGTGATCATGATGATTTTGTAATTGGATTTATTTATGTCAATTCTCCTCCTCCTTCTGGTAGTAGCAGTGATCCAAAAGGTGATGACGGCGATGATGATGACGGAGGAAGAGGAATTCATATATATGTTGCCAGGAGTTGGATTAGATGTTTCAAAGATAAAATTGGTCAACAGTATATAGTACGCCAGAAGAAGTTATAACAAATGGTAAAACTGATATTATTATTGTTGGTCGTGGAATTTATGCAAGTGGTAAAGATGTAATTGATGAAGTGAAAAGGTATAGAGATGCAGGATGGAATGCTTATTTAGATAAACTAAGAATATCAGGAAAAGATCAAATGGTATAAAAAAAAGAAGGTTTGAGGATAAATGATGAATGTCGACAAATAACTCCCATATTAATATATATTAATATCAATTTTTTGATGACACGTGATTAAAAATATTTTTGTATTAGATCACACACTGATAAAAAATTTTATAACGTGCATTATTTATTATTGCCTATCACTATCTCATTGTCATCAAAAGAAAAAAAATGTTAAAATCGATTATTCGAAAACCTTTTCCAATTATTTTTAATGGAGTAAAACAAGTAAGTAATAAATAATCTTTGATTAGTGTAAAATATATGGTAAATTGACATGTTTGTTTTTTATTTAAAAAAATTAGAATTTTCTTCGTAACTTAACTTCAATTATACCGCCAATTGCCGAGAACACCATTGTAAATATAAGTTATTGTTTTAAATAAAATATAAAATAATAATTAATCAATAAATAATGACATGTATGTATGCATGCATACATAAATCATTAATAATTATTTAAATCATATTTAGAAGAAAACCACTAAATATGGAGGAAAGTATACTGTCACATTGATCCCAGGAGATGGTATCGGGCCAGAGATTGCAGAATCAGTTAAAACAGTATTCAAAGAGGCCGAAGTTCCAATTGAATGGGAACAATATAATGTTACTGGATATACTGAAGATAGCGATTTGTTATTTCAACAAAGTATGGAGAGTTTAAGAAGAAATAAAGTTGCATTAAAAGGTATGTTTTGATATTGTTTTTTTGGAATTATTATAAAATAACGAATGAATTATATTAAATATTTTTCTTAACAATCAATGGATGAATTGGTTGATTGATTGGTTTGTTGGTTGATTGATTGATTGATTGATTGATTGAAGGAGTAATTTATACATCCACAAAAAAAGACGATCATCCATCTTTTAATGTTGCGATGCGTAAATATTTAGACATTTATGCATCATTGGTATTAATAAATAATATTAAAGGATATCCAACACGTCATAAAGATGTAGATTTTGTTATTATTCGTGAGAATACTGAGGGAGAATATGCAGGATTAGAACATCAGGTACTTTATATACAAATAAAATATACATAATTTATAAATGCACTAATAATAATGACGATGATTGTTATTATTATTTGTTTTTGATAGTCATATCCGGGAGTAATAGAATCACTGAAAATTACAACTAGAGAAAAAACAGAACGAATTGCACGATTTGCATTTGATTTTGCACTTAAAAATGGACGCAAAAAAGTTACATGTGTTCATAAAGCCAACATTATGTATGATTTTCTTAAACAATAATTTAGAGATAATAAATATATTTTATATTCTATATTTATAGCATGTATATATATGACAAAAAAAATGCTAATCACATCCATTTACATTTGTATTTTTATATAGGAAACTTGGAGATGGATTATTTTTAAATACATGTCGTAAAATTGCAGAAGATTATAAACCATTAGGAATTGAATTTGATGATATGATAGTTGATAACTGTTCTATGCAACTTGTGTCCAAGCCACAACAATTTGACGTTATGGTAATGCCTAATTTGTATGGAGCAATCGTAAGCAACATCGGTGCGGCATTGGTTGGTGGACCGGGCATTGTTCCAGGTGTAAATATAGGTAGAGAATATGCATTATTTGAACCGGTAAGATTTTTATTTTTTTTATTTTTTTTTTATAAAAAAAGAATATATTTATAATTTATAAAAATTATTAGGGAGCACGTCATGTTGGTAGAGATATTCAAGGAGATAATAAAGCCAATCCAACAGCATTTATTCTTTCAGGAGTATTGTTGTTAAGACATTTAGGACTTGATGATGATGCTAATAGAATTTATAATGCAGTAATTAAAGCAATACTACATGGATCGGTATGATTTATTGATGTCTAAATTATGTGAATTTATTTGAACTACATGGTTAATTAATTATTATTTTATTTTTCCTTTCCAAAAATATAATTTAGGCCAAAACTCATGATATGGGTGGCAATTCAACAACAACAGAATTTACACATGAAGTTATTTCTAATTTGTAGAGAAATAAAATATTATTAATTATTTAATTATTTATTATATTTTTTAATAATAATAAACTAATATAATATCGTGTAACGATTTTAAATTTTTTTTCTTGCAATGTTATTCATAATTGATATTATTGAACTCAATTTTTGTAGAATTATATTTAATATTAATACGGAAATTCCGTGGATCTCAAAGTCACTTCAAATAAATCTGATCAAATCGAATTGAATCATAATTCGAATCGTAATCCGAATTTAAAAGAACTTGATTAATCTTTGATCTGAGTTTAAATACATGTAATGGTGTTATATTTTACCTGTAAAGTAACTTTTTGAGTATTCTGTGATCAAAGTCTGACAATTTCTTGCCGATATGCAAAAAAATATAATAAAAACATTCATTGACCAAACCAACAAAATCATCTTTTAATTTGAAAGCTCATAATAATAACTGCTGCATCTTCCATCTTCTTTTTACACTAATGAATTTGATAAAATAATTAAAAAAAGTGAAATATGAAGCTGACAATAACTGACAAAAAGAATTGCATTTGAAGTGTTTTTACTACTTTAAAGTAGGGTTTAATTGTCCATTTGGTTATCAGAGTGGTATGGAACTCTGAGGTTTGTTAACAACGGGTCGTATAGAAAATTTTCAATTTCTTTGATTCAAATAACATTTATTCTGTATTCGTTGTCATTCATATTCACAATTAATTTCATCACCCGTAATTGGTTTCGTCAGCCGTAATTAATTTCGGAATCACGTTTTTTAAAGAGGGAAAGTGGTAATTGATCACGATAATTACGTATTTACGGTAATTAGACATTACCATCCCATGTATACTATTCGAATAAACCAATAACAATAAAACGAATAATTGGAATAAACGAATAATTGGAATAAACGAATAATTGGAATAAACGAATAATTAGAATAAAGGAATAAAACAAATAATTCGAACTAACGAATAAAACGAATAATTCGAGTAAAATTAAAATGAACAATTCGAATAAACGAACAAAACGAATAATTCGTATAATCAACTTCTTTGAGTCTTCTTCACTTGATGCATATTCTAAAACTTTATTCAATTCGTTATCTGATTTGTTTTTTACTTATTTCGTCTTGCCGTTTTTTTTAATTGGAAAAATGTAAAACTGTATTAGTATGTATTGCTTATAAAAAAATATAATTTGATTTGGTCACGTGTTTAGAAGATCTCACTAAATAGGAAGGATCGTCTTATGCCAAATTTCATTTTGATCGACAAATTCATGGGTTGATATATACCTAGAACTAAGAAAATCTGATTATAATATATTAATATATTACTATTACGTATATATTATATTACAATAAAAAAAACCAATAAATATTTTAGATCTTTGATTTTTTAGATAACAATTCAACATAAAACTTTCTTTAAAAATCTTAACAATCAAATAAATAAATCAAAATGGGAGGTGGTGATCTTGTAAGTCTTGTTTTTTTTTCAAATATGAAGGATTGGGTTTTTTTAATAAAAAAAAAATACAATTAAAATCATTAAACTTATAAAATTATGAACTTTTTTAGAATATGAAAAAATCATGGCATCCACTCTTGATTAAAAATCAAGAGAGGGTGTGGAAAGAAGAACAAAAGGCGGCAGAGGAAGGCAAGAAGTTAGCTCAGCTTAAAAAAGAATTAGAAGAAGAAAGATATCTTCAAGAACTAAAAAAATTACAAGAGGGAAAGTAAGTAGTAGTGTTAATAATAATAATAATCATATCCAAAAATATAATTAGTAATTTTTTTTTTAAAAAAGTAAAATAATAACATCATTTTATTTTTAGAAAATTATAAGATTATTAGTTATTGTTATTAGGTTAGAGTTAGGTAGTTTGACAGTTAGTTAGTTAGCTAAAATAATCATTGGCTTATCAAAAATTACATATTACAGGACATATATATATGTAATTTTTTTCATTTAATAACTTTTTTTCTTTAATATATATATTAGAGGGGGAAACGAAAGATTAGAATGGATGTACGCTTCTGCCGCTAGTCATTCAAATTCAGCCAAAGCACAAGAAACAGAAGATTTTCTTCTTGGTAAAAAACGTGTTGATTCATTGGTTGAACAAGGAACATCACTGAGCAGGGTAAACAATAATAATAATAACAACAATAGTTTTTTTATTGATTATTAATTTTTTTTAAAAAATAAACTGCTTATACTTTTTTTTTTGCATATTTAAATCATTTAATTACATACAGTTATCAGCGGATTCAAAAGATATCTTTATGGATACTATGAACCCAAATGCAAATTCATATAAAGATATTCAATCAAAAATTCGTGATGATCCTTTATTTCACATTAAAAAAATCGAACAAGCTCATATTAAAGCCATAGTCAACAATCCCCTTAAATTAAAGAGACTTCAAGAGGTAAAAAAAATGTTTTTTAGAATAGAGAAATTTTTGATAAATAATTAACATATAACTAATTATTATTGTTATATTGTCCAGAAAACAAAAAAGAAGGATAAGGATAAAAAGAAAGACAGGAAAGATAAAAGGCACAAAAAAATAGATAAAGAAAGGAAAAATAAATTATCAGATAATAATAAAAAATATTATTAAGATTTTTATTCAATTTTACATTTTTTTTTTTATTATAACTTTAAAATAAAATGAATATTTAAAACAAGAGTTCTTTCACTACATATACATTTAATATATATAGTATGTATGTATTTGAATTTCAAGGTGCTCAAATCAAAAAAAAAATAGTTTGCATCACAGAATAAATTATGTTATATAGTAGTAATAGATAATTTTGATGAAATATTTATTTTTAGAAAAAAGTTAGGTGTGTATGTGTGTGTATATGCACGCCTGGAGACTATTTTAAAACCCCTTCTTTCAAAACCATCATGAATTAAAAAGATTCACATTCAATAAATAATTTGTAAAAAATAACAAAATCTAACAACAAAAATATATATATATAAAATCAAACAAAATCAAAATAAATAAATAAATAAATAGATTGTCTATTTATATACATACATATATATATTTAGTAAACTCTTGCTTTAGGAGGAACACTTTTACATTCATTTTCATCCAAGGATTTTGTTGCTACAGCTCTATAACTCAAAGTTACTTCACCAGTTTCTTGATCTTGCCAAGATAATGTATGTTTCATCCATTCTTTATCATTTCTCGACTAAATAAATGAATAAATATATAAGTCGTTATTTCATTAAATTATTATTTTTTTTTTTAAAGAAAAAAAATAAATACCTGATAATCTTCTCTAGCATGTGCACCACGAGATTCTTTACGAGCAGCAGCAGCATTCATTGTTTGTGCTGCATTTGTTAAAAGATTTTGTAATTCAAGTGTTTCAACCAAATCAGAATTCCAAATCATCGATCGGTCTGTAACTTTAACATCTTTAAATGACTTAAAGACATTATCGATATTCTTCACACCTTATTATTGATTTTTAGGAGGAATAGAAATAAAAATATATATTACAATCACTACATGCATGTATTTATATGTTAATTTAGTACAAAAAATTATTATTATTATTATTTACCTTCATCTAAAACTTTCTGTGTTCTAAATACAGAAGCGTCCCTTTGCATAACTTTTTGCATGTTTAATCTAATATCAGCAGTTGGCAAACTTCCATCTGCATTACGAAGTTTGTCAAGATTCTCAATTGAACTAGCACCAGAATCTGATGACAAAGGTTTATGAGGTGTTCCTGGTTCCAATGTGTCACGAATATGATGTGCACAAGCACGTCCAAACACAACTATATCAAGTAGCGAGTTGGCTCCTAATCTATTTGCTCCATGAACTGATACACTTGCTGCCTCACCTGCTGCATATAAACCAGGAACAACTTTATCCCTACCATTCTATAAATGAAAAGTCTGTTTATTTGAAAATTTTAAAGATAAAACAAAGAAAAAAATCTTCTCTCATCTAATTTTACCTCATCAACAGTCAAAGCTTCACCTGTATAACGAGTTGGAATACCACCCATATTATAATGAACAGTTGGTAACACTGGTATTGGATCTTTTGTGACATCGACACCTGAAAAAATAGCAGCAGTTTCTGAAATTCCTGGCAAACGTTCATGTAATACTTCAGCTGGCAGATGCGAAAGTTGTAGGTATATATGATCTGCATCAGGACCAACTCCACGACCCTCCCTGATTTCAATCGTCATTGAACGTGAAACAACATCACGTGATGCCAAATCCTTCGCAGATGGTGCATAACGTGCCATAAAAGGTTCACCTTGACTATTTAATAGATATCCACCTTCACCTCTAGCGCCTATTTTTTATTGTAATAAAAAGGTTTATAATTTACAAAAAAAAAAAAAAAAAAGCACCTCGAAAATTAAAAATAAAAATCAAATACCTTCAGTAATTAAACAACCAGCACCATAAATTCCAGTAGGATGAAATTGAACAAATTCCAAATCTTGTAAAGGCAAACCAGCACGAGCAACCATGGCATTTCCATCACCAGTGCAAGTATGAGCACTTGTACACGAGAAATAGGTACGCCCATAACCACCAGTAGCTAAAATTGTTTTATGAGCACGAAAACGATGCAAAGTCCCATCCTCTTGATTAAGGGCTATGACACCACGGCAAACATTATCCTCCATTAATAAATCAAGTGCAAAATATTCAATAAAAAAATTTGTATTATGTTTTAATGATTGTCCATATAATGTGTGAAGAAGTGCATGACCAGTTCTATCTGCTACGGCAGCACAACGATAAGCCTGGCCACCTATATACATACATGCATACATACGCACATATTTATCAGAATATAAGAAAAATTACAAACCATTTTATACGTATATTTATATTATGTATATGTATACCTTCTCCAAAGCGTAAACTTTGACCGCCAAAAGCTCTTTGATAAATCTTTCCATCTTCAGTTCTTGAAAAAGGAACACCATAATGTTCAAGTTCAATCACTGTCCTAGGTGCTTCACGACACATGTAATGTATTGCGTCTTGATCACCTAACCAATCACTGCCCTTTACCGTATCATACATATGCCATCTCCAATCATCCTCAGTCATATTACCTAGAGCAGCATTGATACCACCCTTTTAATTTTTTTTAAGCTTATTCATTAATAACGTACATATTGTTGAAAGAATTTCTTTTTCTTTTTTTTTTTTTTAAATAAAATATATATCAATCAATCAATTAAAATCACCTGTGCAGCGACTGTATGAGATCTTGTAGGAAATAATTTTGTAATGCATGCAGTATTAAACCCCGCCTCGGCAAGACCAAAAGCAGCACGAAGACCTGCTCCACCTGCTCCAACAACAATCGCGTCATATGTATGATCGATCACTGGATATTTATTTGATAACGTAGGCTAAAAAAGCCATAAAAAGAATCATTATTAATTAATTCTTTTAAAATTTTAATTAATTGAATTAATGAATGGATGACTCACTGGTGCATCTTTAGCTCTTAAAGGTTGAGTAGCTATCACCCTAAAGGTAGGTCGCGAGGTATGAAAGGTGCGAGTTAATATAGAAGTTGAACTCTAGGATTTTTATCAAAAAACTTAATTCAGAGATGATCTATTTTATTTACACACACATATATATAAAATAACTTGATTAAAGATTATTTTTTTTACCGCTTTTAAATAATTGAAATTAATTGCTTTAAGCATCTTTATTTATAATCGTTATTGGGAAAAAAGTTTTTTTTGATGATCTTCATGATGAAAAAACAAAAAAGGAAATATAAAAAACAGATTGACAGGGAATTTTTTTATGTGGGCTGATGTTTTTCAGTGCAACAACCGCCATCGCTTTCTGCGACACATGAAAATACTTGTATTACTCGAAGAGGACCCTTATGTCTGTTTCAATTAATATAACTAATAATAATAATATAACAATGCTCCGAAGACCGGTTCCAAGACCATTGTTTTTAAAAGACATTATAACATATTGGGACTGTCTACAGCAAAAACCACCTCCGAGCTCTTTTGACCAAATTTGTGTTTTTTACATAATACCATCCTGTGACATGTAGATTATAACTTGTGAAGATATCAGACCCTGTTTTCTTAATAAAAACATGGGAAATTGTAGGCCGGATATTTTTTTAAAGTAATTTGCGTGTAGAATGAAATTGATCTACATACCCCATTTTTTATTGTTACACGTAATAATTTAAATAATATTAATAAACGTATTAAAATAATAATAAATTGGCATATCTGTTTTTTCTGAAATGTTAAATTTAAATATGTATGTGCGTGTATATATATATTTTAATTATTTTCAAGAGGAATAGCCTCATATAAAGTTAATTTGGAATTTATTTTGTGAATTATTTTTATTATATTTACTTTATTCTAATAAAATTATATGGGCAGGATACTGCCTTTATTAAAAAAAAAATAATAATAAATAACAGATCAAAATTAATAAGTACTAGGCTCTGGACAAAGAATATCTTTAAGTGGATCTTCTACATGTTGACGAATTTTTGTATACAGATATCTTTTTCTATCATCTGTTAATGGAGCAGTCTCAAGAATATTTAATTGGCCATTCTTATTAAAATCATTATTCTTTAAAAGTTTAAAAGGAATTTTTGAATCACCAGATTTTTTAGAAACATAAACTTTTCCAATATAATCACCATTACTACTAAAATGAAAATGATGGTATTTTGTTATATTTGGCAAATTTCTAAAATTATATTTGAATAATGTGTGAAAGTCATACCATCTCCAACCTACACCATTTTTATATCTAAGGGATTTATTATTATTTTCTATTGTTGAATCATTTATAGCCTCTTCAACATGATCAACAGTATTAATACATCTATTTCTATATACTTTTTTGATTGATCCAAAAAATCCATCACAAATAAATTTAGTATGTCCAGGGATCATAAAATTTATATAGATATTTTCATACCAACCCAACATTATTAACCATGACCAAAACCAGAGTGATAAGTTATTTTTATTTTGTCCTGAACAATTATCACATGTCACATATAGATCTTTTTCACCACCACCATGAATCTTTTGAAGAAAATCAAAAACCATATTCAAAGTTGTATTTGCCCTTTTTGATATTCCTTCTGGTAATTCATCTTTCCCTATTGTATAATTTAGCTGAAATTATCTCCATTATCTCTTTGAGTACATATACCAAAGATATTTATTTTAAAAGGAATTTTAAAATAAATTGAGCCAACTTGTTGAGGTGAATATGGTGCAGCAACACTTTGAGCCCAATCATAACAGATGTGAGTTAATGTTGGATTATTTTTACATTTT